TCTTTTGCTTTTCAAGGAGAAGAGCAAAAGGGGGGAGGGGGGAGGGGTTTGTGCGGGGAGAAGGGTGCAACAATGAAAGAATGGAATCCCAAAATCTCTGTAGATGTTCATTGAAATGAAAAATAAACAACCTAAATTAAAAAAAAAAAAGAAAAAGTCTGCTTTATGGTCTCCTAAAATCTGACTTTAGCTGTCTAGGTAAATAATTCTGATGCACACTAAAGTGCACTTACAAGTGGCTTGAGAACCACTAACCTAAAGAGCGACTTAAAAAAAACACTCAGACTTCCCATAGTCTGAAGTGACTCATTGCTGACTCTCCAGTGAGTTTTCAGAGGCTGTAAATGGCACAGGAAATGTTTGCCCATCTTTTTGCCGCAGAGTAGCTGGTGAATTTGAACTACATGCCTTTGGGTTGGCAATGCAATTACTTACCACTTGGCCACCAGAGCTCCCTGAGGAGTGGTGGTGGTGGTTGTTATGTGCTGTCAAGTTACCTGCAACTCCTAGGAACCCTATGTACCCTGAAACATGCTCTATCCTATTCTAACCTTATTGTCTCTGACACATCTGCCCTTATGTCACTGAAACAATCCATCTCATTGAGAGTCTTCCTCTCTTGCACTTTCCCTGTACCCTTCCAAGCATGATGTCTCTCTCCAAAGACTGGTCCTTCCTTGCAACATGCCCAAAGTATGTCAGATGAAGCTTCAGAATCCTTGCCTCCAAGGAGCAGCCTGGTTTCACCCTCTCCACGGTGAACCTGTTTGTTCTCCTGGAAGTCCATGGTGTATTCAGTGCTCTTCTCCAGCACCACAGCTCAGAGGCAACAATTCTCTTTCTGTCATCCCTAGTCATTGTCCAGCTTTCTGACGCACAGCAAGTAATTGTGAAAACCATGGCCTGGATCAGGGACACCTTAGTGTTCAGACTGACATCGTTGCTCTTCAGTACTCTAGAGAGGTCCCTGACAGCAGACTTTCCCAATGCAATTCATCTTTTGGTTTCCTGGTTGCTGGTACCAAGAGTGTTGATTGTAGAGCCAAGCAAACCAAAGCTGTTAACAATCTCAATCTCTTCACTGTCTATCATAATGCTGCCAACTGGCCTAATAGTGAGAATTTTTTGTTTTCTTGATGTTGAGCTACAATCCAATATTGAAGGCTGCAGTCCTTGAAATTCTGCAACAAGTCCTTCAGGTTCTCCTCAGTTTCAGCAAGCAGGGTTGTGTCATCTGCAAACACATGTTGTTGATTAGTCCTCCTCCAACCGGATGCTACACTCCTCCTTATAGAGTCCAGACTCCCAGATGATCTATTCTGCATATGGATTGAAAAGGTATGGAGATAGGACACATCCCTGGCATACACCCTTCCCAATTTTGAACCATGCGATATTTCCTTGTTTTGTTCCGACGACTGCCTCCTGGTCCGGTTTTACATAAGCACAATCAAATGTTGGGGGATTCCCATTCTTCAGAGTTAGCCACAGTTTGTTGTGATCTGCACAGTCAAATGTCTTTGCATAGTCAATTAAACACAGATAGACATTTCTCTGGTACTCTCTGCTTTTAGCCAATATCCGTCTACCATCAGCCTCTTCTAAACCCAGGCTGCACATCTGGCAGTTCTCTGTTAATGTGCTGTTCCAGTTATTTTTGGATTATTTTCAGCAGAATATTATTTGCATGTGATATTAATGATATTGTTTGATAATTTATGCAAGCCATCAGGTCACATTTCTTTGGGATGGGAACAAATATAGATATATTCCAGTCAGTTAGCCAGGTGGTTGTCCTCCAGATTTCTTAGCACAATTTGGTGAATGCATCCAGGGCAGCCATAAGTATTGCAACTTGAGGCTTGAATTTGTTCTTCAATTCCTTCAGCTTAAGAAATGCTGAGTGAGTTCTGCCCTTTTGATTTTCTGACTCTTTGCATATGTCATTATAATACTTTATTTTTTCTTCCTGTGCTGACCTCTGAAATCTTCTATTCAGCTTCTTAATTTCTTGATTTCTTCCCTTTGTTTTGGCTTCTCGGCGCTCTAGTGCAATATTCAGTCTTGTCTGGCATCTATCTTGGTCTTTCTTCCTTCTCTGCCTTTGTAACGACCTTTTGCATTCTTCATGAATGATATTCTTGTTATCCTCCCACAGCTCATTTAGTCTTCACTCATTGGTGTTCAGGGCCCCAAACCTGTTCCTGAGATGGTTTTGAAGTTGGAGTGGGATAGACTTAAGGTCAAATGTTGGTTCCTGTGGATTTAACTTTCTTTAACTTCAGGTTGAACTTGCATATGAGTAGTTGGCCTATTTCACAATCAGCACCTGGCCTAGTTTTCACAACTGATACTGAGTTTCTCTGGTGATTCTTGTCCAGATGTAAACAATCTGACTCCTGTGTAGACCATCTGGTGAGGTCCCTGTGTATATTCAACATTTGTGTTTCATATAAAATATGTTTGTGATGAATAAATTGTGTGATGATTCTATCTCCAACCTCATTTCTGTCACCAAGTCCGTATTTTCCAACTCCTTCTTTCCTGTTCCCAACTTTTGCATTCCAGTCATCCATTATTATTAATGCATTTTGATTGCATATTCGATCAATTTCTGACTGCAAAAGTTGGTAGAAATATATTTCCTCCTCTTTGGCTCTAGTTGTTGATGCATATATTTGAATGATAATGGTATTCACTTGGCTTCTTTGTATGTGTATGGATATTTCCTTGTCACTCACAATATTGTATTTCAGGATGGATCTAGAAATGATCTGTGAAAGCAACCCCATTTTTTCTCACCTTTTCATCACTGACATAGTAGGTCCTATGATCATCTGATTCATACTGTCCCATGCCAAGCCATCTCATTTTCCCAATTCCTAGTATATCAATATTTATGCGCTCCATTTCCTTCTTAACAATGTATAATTTTCCTGTATTCATGTTTCTCACTTTCCATGTTCCAATCAGTAGTGTCTGGTTACAACTGTTCCTCCTCCTCTGTGTTTCCATATTTGAGGGCTCAGCCTCAGTTGCCACATCTGCTAGTCTAAGTGTGTTCTCTTGTACATAGGGTTTTTGAAGCCCTGTTAATTTGGAAGTGGATGGCCAATCCTTCTTCCTAGTCTTATCTTTATTTGAATGCTCAGATTTAGAACAGTATCTGACAGACAAGCATTTTACAGAAAGGAGCAGATGAAAGACATCTCTCCAACTATAGATGTAACCAATAGATTGTATTGCTACCTGCCCTTGGCATATGTGTCTTGGCCCACCCCATAGAAGAGTAGTTGGAAGGTCTCTGTGAGAGAGCTGACATATTATATGTCTCCTTTTAGAATAGTAAATTCTTTGAGGACCAGGATTATTTTTTCCTTGTCCTCTGCTCTGTCTAAAGCTGGACAATGACTAGGGATGATAGAAGGAAAATTGATGCCTTTGAGCTGTGATGCTGGAGAAGAGTGCTAAGAGAACAAACGGGTTTGCCCTGGGTAAGGTGAAACCAGACTGCTCTTTGGAGGCAAGGGTTCTGAAGCTCTGTCTGACATAATTTGAGCATGTTGCAAGGAGGGACCAGTCCTTGGAGAGGGACATCATGCTTGGGAGGGTGCAGGGACAGCACAAGAGAGGAAGACCCTCAATGAGATGGATTGATTCAATGACTAGGGTAATGGGAATAGGTGTGTTAGGGACAAAAAGGTTGGCTCAGGATAGAGCAGGGTTCAGAGTTGATGTACATAGGGTCACTATAGGTTTCAGGTGACTTGACGGCACATAACAACAACAACAAAAATCCCAAGACTTACTGGTGTCAAGTTGATTGTGATTCAGAGACTTTCCATCAGATTTCTGATGCTATACATCTTTACGAGAGGATATTGTCCATCTTTCTCCAGAGGAACAGCTGGTGGATTCACATGGTTAGCCTTTTAGTTAATAATCCTATATGTTATATACCACTCCACCAGGGCTTCTTTGACACCCTGTAGGTGCTCATGTTTGTTAAATAAATTTCTTTAACAGAAAGAGCACTTCTATATGTCAGACACTGCTTTAAGCACTTTTAAAAACTCTTAACTCTCAGTCCTTCAACAAACCCTATGATAGAGGGTGCACCTTTTACAGAGGAGAGAACTGAGGTTTAGACATAGGAGTGTTACTTGCCCAAGTTTATTTGGCTTAAATATAAGTTTTATTCTCTACTAATCACCCATTTTTCAGGCCCTGAAGGCAACTCCATTTGGGCCCCTGAAGCAATAAATACCCTCTGAATTCCTCTCTCCAAAGGCTTGCTACTTCCTTTTCTCACTTCCCTTGTGTTGACCTCCACACCACAACTATTGCATCAGGAAATAGAAGTGCCAGGAAAGAAAAGTCAGGATGAAGCAACCAGTGACACTTACTCTGTAATTGTGGTACAGATTATACATTTGCAAATAGGGAAACTGAGGCTCGGTTTTAACTAATTTCCCCAAGGTCACACAGCTAGAAACTTTGTCATGCTCCAAATTTCTATACTCTGTTTCTCCTTATTAATTTGTCCAAGGAACATTGATTGAGCATTGAAGGGTTGCTAGGCAGGGAGTGCTAAGGATATTATAACAAATGAAATATGACTGAAAATGACTCAGGAAGTAGAGTAGGAGAGTAGAGGAAAAGGATCAGGCAGAGAATAGGGGAGAAGTCAGAGCTGAAAGTCTGCACAACACCCTTCCTGCTCTTCCAGTTCCTCTTATGTCCTTGTTCCCCTTTCCTTGATGACTACAGCAGTCAGGCTAACACAGATAAAGGCAGGTCTCCTCTAACAGCATAGTGCTCAATATGCCTATCAAAGTACAGTCCTCTGGGTTACTGATGCCATTGCTGCTGCTGCTGCTGTTCACCCTGCCAGCCACAGGTAAATGGGTGAGGGTTAACTGACCGCCAGGAATTCCTAGGCTCATCATATCTCTGACCATACTCCACTCTGGCTCTGTCATAGGCTCGGACCCTGTACTCTGCTTCACTCAGTATGAAGAATCCTCTGGCAGGTGCAAGGACCTGCTGGGGGGAGGTGTTAGTGCTGATGACTGCTGTCTAAATGTTGCCTATGCCTTCCAGGATCCAGACAGTGGGCTCTGTCAATCATGCAGGTTAGGAGGGCCCTGGGGCAGGGTAGCATAATGAGGCAGAAAAGACTGTCAGAGGGGTGGCCCGTCATTATACTCTTTCTTCTCTGGGATTTCCAAGGATAAATTTAAAGGTTGGGTAGTGATCGTAGCTCAGAGTTTCTCATCATTGGCATTTTGGGTCAGAACAGGACCATACAGATTGTCTTCTGTCCACTAGATGTCAATAACCATACTTGCCAGGCAGTTTCCAGATACTGCCAAATGCCCCTTGACCGATAAACCCCTTCTGATTGAGAATCACTGCCATAGCTCACATATAGTTATTACTTCCGACATCCTGGAGACACCGAAGAGTGAGGCAGCGTATATTTCTGAAGGTACCTTTGATCCCCTAATTGTGATAATAGTGCTATTTATTGAGCCCTTATTGTGATTAACTGCTCAAATCTACTAGTTGATCCATGGGAGTAAGATGAGACAGTCTGCTCCCAGTAAGATTAACAGCCTTGGAAACTCAGGGATGGGTGAGTTGGAATCAATGCAACAGCAGTAAGCATAGGAGAGTTTGTTGAATTCCCAGGGTAACTTCAAACCCTTAATTTAAAAAAAAACCCCACCAAATGTGTGTGTGTGTGTGTATAGTTTAAGTGAAAATTTACAGAGCAAATTGGTTTTCTATTCAACCATTCATACATATTTTGTTTCATGGAAAATTGTAATACCCACTTTGTAACTGTCATCTTCCCTCTTATGCACTTTCCCATACCTCCCTTTTCTGTAGTGATACTGAGCTAATCAGGGAGCTCTGATGGTTTAGTGGTAAGGTGTTGTGCTGCCAGCCCAATGACACACAGTTTGAATCCACCAGCAGCTCCATGGAAGAAAGACGGGAAATTTCCTCCCATGTGATTTACTGCCTCTGAAAACCCACTGGCAGATCAGCCATGAGTCAGTTCCAACTCAATAATATACAACAACTCTGTGCCAGTCATCCCCTTAATGTATATTTTGCCTATAAAACCCACCTATTATCCATTTACCTTTTTTCTCTCCTCTCATTCCTAATAATTATCGAAGAATTTTTATTTCTGCATAGGAACCTTTTCTTAACTTTATATAACAGGGGACTAATACAATATTTATCCCTTTGTGACTGGTGTATTTCACTCATCATAATGTCCTTTACATTCATCCATATTGTACAGTGTTTTGCATTACATCTGTATACTGATTTTGGTAGTATTGTCACTTTCATAATGTTAAGTGTTCCTATTCATAAATATGAAATAGTCTTCCATTAGTATAGATCAACCTTGGTTTCTTAAAGTAATATTTTATAGTTTTCTTTGTATAGATCTTTTGTCTCTGGTTATATTTATTGATAAGTATTTAATCTTCCATGTGTCTGTTGTACAAAGGAATTTGTGAATAGGAGTGATGACTTGGTTTGTAGTGAATTGTGGTTAACTCAAAGGCTGAGTCTCTCTGGCTATTCCAGTCTACCAGCAGTTCTGTGAGGGAAAGATGGACAACCACTTCCCATGTTATATATAGATTCAGAATTCCACTAAAGGGTCAGCTGTGAGTCAGTTCTGACTCAGTGGCAATGAGATTTGAGTTATTGTAAATGGCATTGTTTCCCTGTTCCTTCAGTAATGTAGAGGAAACCAACTGAGTTTTATATGTTGATCCTGTATGTTGTTATGTTGACCCTGACACTTTTCTAAATTTTCCAATTAGTTCCAGTAATTTTCTTGCTGAATCTTTACTATTTTACATACAAAGGATAATATATTTGTTAATTTAGATGCATTTTATTTCTCTTTCTTTCCTTATTGCTCTGACTAGGATTTCAATATAATATTGAAAAGGAGTGATGACACCTTGAATTAAGCATGTCCTATGTACTAGATACATTGCAGATTGTAGGGGTACCATGAGGATTTCTGTGGATAGATTCTGTCTCCTAATCATGATGCCAATTTTTATTTATTGAGCTCTTACTATATGCCATATGTATTTTCTAAATACTAGGTATATATCCAGATACTCTGTGAATGTGACTACCTTGGGGATTTTTGAGAGAAGCCCTGTCAGTAGTTGACAACTGTTTTGCATTAATAGCATACCCACCCAGTACTCTACAGTGCGTGATTGGGGGTAGATCTGGAGTATTATTTCTGAAGTAGAGGCTCTACGTTCTTAATCAGAATGATGACTTCTGTTAAACCTCTACTGTTTGCCTATGGTGTGGCCCAGTGAGCTTCTGACTGCAGTCCTAGGCCTCTAGTCCTTACATTTGCTTACTATATGCTTAGCACTGTCCTTAGGTACTTCCAAGAATGGCCCTAGGTCTCTGACTGTGAAAATAAATGACATTTATTATACACTTACTGTATACACAGTTCTTATACAATCCCCTAACATCCCTAAGACACAGATATTCTTATCCATTCCACACATGTTTATGCTTTCTATATACCACTACAATGCCACATGCCTTTCTTGCCACTTTCACTGCATCAGCTTAGCTCGCACCAGTAGAAGGTGCATATGCTCATTTCCACAGGTCTGCACGATGGTCTCCATGGTCCATGTGGGCCCCCTGTTCAGTGACCTGCTCTGAGGGTTCCCAGCTGAGGTACCGCCGTTGTATAGGCCGTGGCAGACAGTGTTCTGAGAAGGTGGAACCAGGGACTCTTGAGTGGCAACTACAGGCCTGTGAAGATCTGCCATGCTGTCCTGGTAAGTAGAATCAGCAAAGTGAGCAAGCAATCCTTTTACCCAGTCTATGGAACAATCAGTGCAAAATCCTGAGGGTGGGATTGTTCTTGATGTTTGTGAGGCTCAACAAAAGGAGAACAACAATGTGGAACAGAGGGAATAAGGAAGAAAGTGATGAGAGGTGAGGTCTGAGAAACAATAGAAGCATAGTAATGTAGGATATCAGTACCATGGTGAGGACTTTGTCTTTTACCCTAAATTATTACGATGTGAGCAAAGGAGAGATGTAATATTATTTGGATTGTTATAGGATCTCTATTACTTTTGTGAGGGGAACATAGGGTAGGTGGTGAGGAACAAGCAGATTGATGCAAAGGCTACTTAAATAGTCTAAACAATGATGATGAAACAGGTGGAGAGGCAGAGGATGTGGGGTGAGATATACTATAAACCAGATGTAAGGCACATGAGGAAGCAAGAAAGCCTGAAAGATACCCCACCTCTGTCCTGTCCACTCTCTTCTCCTCAACAGAGATGGGTGGCTGGTCTGACTGGGAGCCCTGGGGACCCTGCTCTATCACATGCTCCAAAGGGACTCGAATTCGTCAGCGAGCATGTGACAATCCTTCCCCCAAATGTGGGGGCCACTGTCCAGGAGAAGTACGTGAATCGGAGATCTGTGACACCCAGCAAATCTGCCCTAGTGAGTAAGAGCAGCCACAGAGCACTGAAGGGGCCTACCTAGAGTAAACTAGTGGAGTTACAGTAAGAAACTTCCGGCTTGGGAGGACTTGATTATGCACAACTGCACTTGTCACCTCCTATGTCTGTCTTCCTATCACAGTACATGGGACCTGGGCTACCTGGGGCCCCTGGAGTCCCTGTTCAGGCTCCTGTCATGGTGGATCCCATCTTCCTGTGGAGAGACGAAGTCGTACCTGTTCTGCACCTGAGCCCTCTACAAAGCCTCCTGGGAAGCCCTGCTCAGGGGCCACCTATGAGCAGCGGGGTTGTGCTGGTCTTCCACCCTGTCCAGGTATGCTTTGATACTCTGCCAGCAGGTCTCTTGATTCAAGATACAGATACTATTTCATTTCAAATTATAGTAATCTCAGATCATGTAAGCATGGAGCTTCTTATTTGGGGGCATTCTGCCTTGAGAGTTCAGGGGTTGAGGGGGATGAATGGTTTGAGGTGCCTTTTCTCCTCATTTTCTTTTCCCTTCAACAGTAGCTGGGGGCTGGGGACCATGGGGCCCTGTGAGCCCCTGCCCTGTGACCTGTGGCCTTGGCCAGACTATGGAAGAGCGGACATGCAATAACCCTCTGCCCCAGCATGGAGGACCCTTTTGTGTTGGTGACTCTACCCGGACTCACATTTGCAACATGGCTGTGCCTTGCCCTGGTTAGTACCACAGATGCATTATTTCCATACCTATGCACCCCTGCCCACTTTTGCCACCTGGTTTCTGCTGATGATGCCTTGTTCCTCCACCTCTGTACCTGAGACTTTGGTCCTGCCTCTCATCCCATATTCCCACATCTGATCTGATTGCCCCCTCCTTTCCACCTTCATATCTTTTCTTCTAAACACACTGTCCGACTCCCTTCTTTGATCTGAGCCCCCTGTGGTCCCCATCTTCCCAGTGGATGGAGAATGGGAGCCCTGGGGGGAGTGGAGCACTTGTTCCCGCCGAAACCTGAAGTTTATCAACTGTGAAGAAATCCCAGGGCAGCAAACACGCTCAAGGGACTGCAAGGGCCGCAAGTTTGATGGACAGCGGTGTGCTGGGAAACAGCAAGATATCCGACACTGCTATAATGTCCATCAGTGCCGCTGTGAGTACCTTAACAGGCTGTGAGGGCAGGACCACCATCCTGGAACAAGGATTCTTTGACTCTTTGCCTTGGACCCCATATCCCTGCAGCCCGTCTCATCACTGAAACCTCTAACTCTGATTCTGTGATCTCCCCTCATTCCAGGGAAAGGCTCGTGGCTGGAATGGAGTACCTGGGGCCTGTGCATGCCTCCTTGTGGACCCAACCCCACCCGTGCCCGCCAACGCCTCTGTGTAGCTCCATTCCCCAAATTCTCGTGAGTGAAAGCACACTTATAATGTATAAGTGAGGCAGAGCACACTTACAATGGAGTTAGGATACATCAGCAGTTAGAGTCAGGGAGTCACTTGCCCCCAATCAGGGTTTCCATCACTAAGGTCTAAGGTGCCGGCCTTGGTGGGGCAAAAACTAAAGAAATTGAGAAAAAAGATATTGGGGAAGAATTAGTAATCTCTCAATCACTCAGCCATTCTACCATTTCATGAAATCCTTCATGTGTGCATTGCCTCTTATCTCTGTTATCTGTCCTTTGATTTACTCATTCAGTTACTCAGGCCTCCCTACAAGGCCTATTAGGCAACATTTGGCAGACACACAGTACCAGATTCTATGGATTCCCCAAATGATCCTGAGTGGATAATCTCCTGACAGATGGCATATGAGGGGAAATTAGTGCTTAAAAAAGGAACTGTCATCTCAACTTGTGTCCAGACAGCTGATGGGGCCTTCTATAGCAGATAAGAGTAAAGAAAGGCTTTCTCAGAATCAACACTAGGTGAGTGTAATTCTAAACACAGGTCACCCAAAGCATTTCCCTGTGACCAGAATGGTCTAGAGTGTTAGACAGAGTTAAAACACTTATTCATTCATCTCTTCCTTATTTCTATATACATCAAGCTACTAGATTAAATGGGCTGCCCCCAGCTTGTGGAAGGCCTGACATTTGGGAAGTGGTTACTCAGCTATGAAATTTAGAGTGTCCTGAAGATGAGTTAGGGGTATTGAATAAGGCACAGGAGATTTGACTGACTGAAGGAGTGAATGGAGGATTGAAAGAATCAGGGTAGAAGTGAGTGGAAGATATGTCAATGGGAAAAATAACTCAGGCAAAGACCTTTCTAGATATGGGACTGAGACTAGATAAAGTAAGGGAGAGGTAGAGGGACAGGACTTCAAGCTCAACAATAAAGACTTAAATGTCAGGATAGATCATTTGGCTTTGGAAATAAGAGAGGGTATCTCGTGTCTACAAGTAACAATTATCAGCATTTATTGAACACTTACTATGTACCAGGCACTTCTCTGAACACTTTACCCAACCTAAAGAAGTGGTTGATAATATTACTGTTTTTTAAATTTTGTAAATGAGAGAAACGAAGGGACAAGGGGCTATAAATTGCCTGTTATCTCACATCTAAAATGTAACAATGTGCACAATTCACAGTACAAGTTTGTTGAATGTACTTTTGCCTTCCCTGAGTTCTCATGTGTTCCCTATCCCCACATCACCCTAGGCCCACTGTTTCCATGGTAGAAGGTCAGGGTGAGAAGAATGTGACTTTCTGGGGAACAATGCAGCCACTGTGTGAGGAGCTGCAGGGACAGAAACTGGTGGTGGAGGAGAAGCGGCCATGTCTACATGCACCTGCCTGCAAAGACCCTGAGAACAGGAAGCTGTAACAACTCTTCCTTCAACTCTGACTCTGTGATCTCCAAGACCTCAATAAACCAGGCTCTTTGACTTCTTCAAAGGTTACCTGAAGAGGGAAAATATCTCCATTTACTTCCCTAGGAATGGGGCAATAGCATCTTCTAGGACAAAGTCACAGACGGCAACCTGTTGTGACAAATACTATTTTCCATTGTGGCTGCAGTTTAGCAGCTGTTATTATGTGATGTAGAGTCGACAGTGACTCATAGTGTCTCTATGAACAACAGCTCTGAACCTTTCCCTATCCTGAGCCAGTCTCACTGTCTTAGACACACGTGCCCCCCAGGATCTTCCTCTCCTGCTCTGACCCTCTACCTTTCCATGAAGTCCTTCTCCAAGGACTGGTCCCTCCTGTCAACATGCCCAAAGTTTGTGAGATGGAGTTTCAAACTTTTTGCTTCCAAGGAGCAACCTGGTTTTGTCCTCTCCAGGACAGTGTCAGTCCAGCTCCAAACACCAACTGCTGCTGTCAGTCCCTCCAGTGCCCTATACCCCAGTACCCTGGGCCACTCAGCATATACCTCTGCAGAACTCCATATTATGGATTTTCTGCTCACCCTGATTGGTTGCTCACCCTAGCAAGCACCAGTGTGCTTGTCAGTTACTGTCTCCCTAACCCCTGAAGCAATCTTTAGGTTACCACTCACCAGAGTCTGGACTGGCATTTTCCAGTGTTGATCCAGGTCTTAAAGGGCAATAGAAGTTATGGAAGCACTGTGCCCCACTGCCCAAATGCCTATAACCCACCCACTTAATAACAGCAACTTGCAGTTTCCTAGTTCCATTGTTAAAATTAGCAGCAAATAACCCTACAATGTGGGAGTTGAGGTTAGGGGCTTGATGTAATCTGAACTAGAGCGGGAACAGAGAAATTTGGAGTCAGCATCTTTCAGGAGAAGCTTCCCATACAAACTCACACACACTCACTTAGCATTGGCTCATTCATTTAACATTTACTAGCTACGAGTGCCCTATGTACACCTTTTCCTACTGGAAAAGATGAAGACAGCACACATTCATCTTACCTCTGCCTCAAGAGTGTTGAGACATTCTTGGGGAACATCCTCATTCCTATATAAAACAATCTATGAAAATTTAACTTCTGGAAGTTATTCTATCTAGAAAAAGGAGATGGTCCTGGGGCCATAATTTTTGGGAATGAGTCCCTTAGGAAGAGGCACAATCTACAGATACATTCCTAAGGAACTTTATTTGGAACCAGAGGAACCATGAAGGTCTGCAGGCCTTGAGCTACTCCTGCCCCTAGAGAGTACACAGCTTGTTTTTTTTGTTTATTTTGTTTTAGCTTGGTTTCCAGTTATTGAGCAAAAAACTGGGTGATACATAATTTTAAATCTTGAAAAAGGCCTAAATTCATGAGAAGTTCTCAATTTTGGGACCTAGGATTTGAAATGTGGAGAGGGTATCCTAGAGGAAGGTGGAAAGAATGACCAAACCTAAAGTCTGGAAGTGGCACTGGATATGACTGAGATGAAGAAGGGATACAGAAGATATGGAATCTGAGGGAAGGAGATATTTCCTGGAAAAAATTATCAAAGGTGGTCCTTGAGAGAGGAAAGAAAAAATCATTCATGAGCACAACACATATAAAGGCACAGAAGTTGCCCCTTCCTTCCTCATTTCTTTAGAGGGGGCTCAGATTATCACTGATGAGGAAAACAAGTTTCAGAGGAGAAGGAATTAAGGATATAACAGACCCCTAATTTTAACCCAGGCGCTCTGCATCTGCCTCCAGACCCTTTTCTCACTCACTCACTCGCTCACTCACTCACTCACTCACAGTCATCAAGTTGAAACTGACTCATAGCTGACCCTCCAGCGGGTTTGTAGAGGTTGTAGATAGCATAGGAAGAGATTGACCATTTTTCTCTCATGGAGTAACTTTTGGATCCAAACTGCTGTGCCACCAGGGTTCCCTGCACTTGTTTATTTAATGAGCACATGAATATGTGGATAATCCTGGAATCCTGCAATCTCAAATATGACTCAAAGACCTCAAATCTGCCTGCTTCTCTCTATATCTTCTGCCACCATTATTGCTCACTGTGACCCACAAGGCAATATCTAACCTTGCCCCTATTAACCTTTCTGGCCTAATCTCCTATCATAATTGCTTTATTCCAATAACGCTGACACTGGCTGTTCCTTCTTCCTGTTGTTGTATACTATCAAGTCATAACTGACCCATAGCTGACCCTCCAGAGGGTTTTCAGAGACAGTTAATCACACAGGAAAAGATTGTCCATCCTTCTCCTGTAGGACAGCTGACTCGAACTGTGTGCCTTTTGGATTGTAGCACAACTTGCCACCAGGGCTCCCTTCCTTCTTCCTAGCACATTCTTAAAAGAAAACAAATGTATTAATCACAAGGTGAATATGATTTATGACCTCTTGGAAATAAATTTAAGCACTCAGTTTCCCTCTGTTGTAAAATGGAAATTGTATTACATATCCCATGTTATTGATATGTGTTATTGAGTCATAACTGGCCCATAGCTGACCATCCAGCAGGTTTGCAGAGGTGGTAAATCACCTGGGAAGAGATTACCCATCTTTCCTTCTCCTGCGGAGCAGCTGGTGGATTTGAGCCTTTTTAATTGCAGTGCAGCTTCTAAGTCATCAGAGCTCCCTACATACCCCATTCATTATTGTTGTTTGCTGTCAAGTTGGAACAGACCCATAGCTGACCATTCAGTGGGTTTTCAGAGGCAGTAAATCATATGGGAGGTTACTCGTCCTATTTCTGTGAAGAGGCTGGTGAGAGTAATAATGAGTAAGAACTCTGACCTGACTGGGAGAACACCAGCTTGAGCTTTCTGCTGGGCTGGTAGGTACACTGTCCCAGGCAGGTAGTTTCTTTTCTATTTCTCACAGCATATGTTGTTTTTAAATGATACTTGTAAACTTGGTTATTTTATACCTTACTCTTTTCTGTCAGTTTACTACATTGAAGGGTTGACTTGCGGGTTACTGTTTATTGTATAATTTGTATATGTATGCTTGCTTGTTTGTAGCTTGCTCTTATGGATACAGCACTTGTCTGTAAGTTTTAAATACTAGAGTGGCTTACACATTGCTGTGATGCTGGAAGCTATGCCACCAATATTTCAAACACCAGCAGGATCACTCATGGCAGGCAGGTTTCAGTGGAACTTCCAGACTAAGACAGACAAAGAAGGAGGACTGGCCATCCATTTCGTAAATAATTATCCTTCGAAAACCCTGTGAATAACAGAGAAAATGTGTTAGATATAATTGTTGTTGTTGATTGCCTTCGAGTCAAGCATGACTTATTAGCAGCCCTATGAACAAAAGGCCACAAGACCCTCTACAACTGTTGACATTTATCAAAGTTCATAGTTTCTAGAGACATGTTATTTAGGAATTGGATGCCACTCCTCCTTCCAAACCTGTCATAGTATATTATTGTTTTTATGTGCCATTGAGTCGCCTGCAATGTATAGCTATGCTATGTACAGCAGCTCTGAACATCTCCCTATCCTGAGCCAGTCTCACTAACTCTGGTACACCAACATCCATTGCCCCAGTTACTATATCAATCCATCTCATCTGGTGTCTCCCTCTCCTGCGCTGTCCGTCTACCTTTCCAAGCATGATGTCCTTCTCCAAGGACCAATCTCACCTGACCCCTTGCCCAGAGTAAGTGAGACGGAGCTTCAAAATCCAAGTCTCTCCAAGGAGAGACTTGGTTTCACTCTCTCCAAGTCAGACCTATTTGTTCTCTTGGCAGTCCGTGGTACCAGAAGTACAATCATTCTGATTGGAAGACACTTTAAAAAAATGAAGAAAAACAGCTGTAAACATCCATTAATTGGAGCATGGAATGTATGAAGTATAAAACTAGGAAAATTGGAAGATGTCAAAATGAAATGAGATGCATTTTAAAGATCACCATTCAAAGCATTACCAAGTTGTGATGGACTAGTATTGCCACTTTGAATCAGACAGGAATAACAATTTTTAAAATAAAAATTTTACATTAAAATTAAAAATTTTAATTAATTAAAATAAAAATTTTAAATTAAAATAAAAAATTATTATAGTCATAATAAAAAAGAGCATTTCAAGATCTATCCTGAAGTACAAATGCTGTAAGTAATAGGATACTCTCAATAGGCATACAAGAAAGACCTAGAGGAAAAAAAAAAAGACCTGCTAATACAACTATTGTTCAAATATACACACCATCAAAGCAACACCCTAGCAACAATAGCAAAGTTCAACAGGGCAGCAAACAACAAATGCTGGTGGGGTTGTGGAGAGATTGAAACTCTTACACACTGCTGGTGGGAATGTAAAATGGTATAACCACTATGGAAGGTGGTCTGGCACATTCTCACAAAGTTGGAAATAGAAATACTATTTGGCCACTACTAGGGATATACCCTTAAGAAACTAGAGCTGTCACCCAAACAAATGTACACACACCCATCTTCATTTCTGCATTATTCACAATAGCAAAGAGATGGAAGCAACCCAAGT